ATACAAAAAAGGAAGAGAAAGCAGTGAAGGAATTTTTTGTAGAGGCTTATAAAGTTATAAAGACCTTGAAAGAAACATGAGGCCCAGCAAGGTATCTACTGCCATCTGAATATGGTGTGAAGTGTCGCCATAGACAAAGCAAGGTGTGATGCCAGAATTTAAGTGATTACGTGACATGATAACCTACTTTATCTGGAGCTCAGGTGGCCTTAGGCATGCACTTCATACCTTCTTTTGTGTCCCCTATCTCCCAGTCTCATTCGCTCTCTCTGCCACACACACACACACACACACACACACACACACACACACACACACACACACACACACACACACACGCACACACTCACTCACACAGACCGTTTTACACTGGATGGAGAAGTGTGTCAGACGTTCTCTTGTGGCCCGTAACTGTTTTTTCAGAAGTGTAAACAGCAATTTAATGTTCATTTTGAAAATTGGTCACAAAAGTGAAAGCAATCCCTCTGGAAGTCATTCACCAAATCACTAAAGGAAAAGCACACCCACAAATAAAACACTTTTATTAAGTAAACTCAGAAGAGCAGCCAAGTCATTTTCTATGCTGTACTAGTTTTATCAGAATAAAGCATACACACAATACCTGTTACTGTGTCAATAATTTTTTTTAAAAGGGATAAGGTAGCATTTTTGAACCGAAAGTGTGAGACATTTAGAAATGTGAGTGTGTATACACAAAGCATAAAATCATTAAATGTGACACTCACCTTCATACATGTTTTGATTGTTGTATATACACACCAGTGTTTGTCTCACTTCCTGAAAATCCGCAGAATGTCAGATGGAATCATTTATTTTTCATGTCATTATAAGATGAATACACATAGAAAGATTTGATAATGTGCCAACGCCTTCTTAGCCTTCCTAGCCAACTTCCAACTGTGTAGTAAACACTAATTCTGCTTTAAATGCAGCCTGGAAGCAAAATCTATTTATTTCTTCCTGAAATCTTCCCACCCACCCACCCACCCATCCAACCCCCCTTCCAGGCATGAATGAGGTTATGGGCAAATAAGTGACATGACAGAGCTGTGGGGAAGACTGTGAAAACATGCAGGAGACAAATAGTGTGTATTTTGGCAGATGAAGAGAGAGGATGATATTGCCATAGTACCCGGGGTATTAGAGAAAGTCATTACTGTCTATCACCGGGCAAAAGAAGACATGTTGAAGATAAAGATAAATACATTTTAATAATAAGATAAATAGCCTTTTGGAAAGGGAAGGCTTGTTATGGTAGATGTGTTTGGTAAAGTGGCTATGAGGGTTCATATTTCAATAAATATTTGATGGGTAAAGACGGCTGCGTGAGCATGCGTGTGTTTAGAGGTGGGGGTTTGGATATTTTCATGTGTGGCTATAAGTGTTTGCGTATCTGTTTAGAGCCATATGAAATAGGTTTTAAATGAGGAAAATGATCACATTTTCCCTCCATCTCTCATGTGGCTCAATCTTGTTTTCTTCTTCTCTGCATTATTCTCTCAATCTCATCTGTTCTCCTCTTTTCACTGTAGCTCTTTCTTTCATCCATCTTGCAATCTATCCCAGTGAAAGCTGAATGGGGGGGGGGGTGTATTGTGTAGGTTCAGCAGTCTCTGGGCCAACCAAGCTGAACTGAGAAAAGTAATTTGTTCCTTTATTACTTCAGTCAACACGGGAGAAAAAGGTCAAACAGTGAGTAAAAGAAAGTAGACTCAACTGTTCCGCTTCATCCCTTCATACTGTAACATGATTAGCAGTGAATGCATGTTAGTTAGCAGCTGCACAGAGGGCTTACGTTTATTCTGTAATCTGCTCATTGAAGTTTGTTTTAGAAAGTAACCTTGAGAAAGAGAGTGACGGTTGGCTTTAAGTTTTGAGAACCATATGCCAGACCTGACAAACAGAACTTAACTCTATGTTAAGTGGAGAGTTAAACATTAGCCATGAAAACGATCACACCGTCACTCTGTCTAAACTGAATGTTGGTTATTATACCACTCATCACAGTGGGAAGGTTTTTTTTTGCTTTGTTAGGAGATCTGTCTCCATCTGCTGCAGCTCCAGCCAAGCTTTTCTTCTAGTACCTGAAATAGAGTTCACCTGGACTGTAATCATTCACACAGCTCACAGTCCCGGCCAGGGAACAGCGACATAATCATTAATCGCTGGCGGGGCATCCAGTGCCTGACTCAGCGCCTCCAGTCTCCATCATCCAAATTTTAAAAACTGTCTGACTTGACCATAGGCAGACCTTCACTTTAAATGTTTTAAAGGATTATCTTCAGCATAAAAAGCAGACTTGCATTACTTTTTATCCATACTTTTCTAACCTGCTCGCTTCTGTTCAAGGTCACTGCGGGGGCTGAAATCAGTCAAACATTCATTCAAGTTAGCTGTCTTCACTTTACTTTGATAATCCACCTAATGATAATCCATTAGGACCCTGAAATGCCCAAACTACTAAAATACTACGATAGAAATGATAGCCTGATCCATAATGTTAAATTGCTATCACATGTATTAATACATTATTATCTCCTGTTGCTTTCCCTGCTGAGCTAAAGTAACTCCTGTTCTCTGTTCAAGAGCACCTTGTCCAAAATGTTGGTGTCCTCTCTGGATGTTTTGCTGTTTACAGACTATCCAATGCATCATCCAAAAATTGATTTGCTGAGGGTGGCTTAATTTTTACAGCCAATTAACTATTCTGATATTGAAGGTTATAGAGGTGACATGTCAGCAATGAATAATCTAAGTGGTTTTGACGGCTGAGTGAAAGCGGAAGATTGCTGAAAGCTGTGAATAATGTACTCTTCAATCAATACACAAGGCTGAGCCCGCAACTAGACTATTTTAATGAGGCCATATACGTGTTTTTTATGCAAACTAAGAGAATTATATAAGGATCGAATTGAAATTTAACTTCTTTATAGGGGAGTTAGTAAAGGTTTATTAAAATGTTGAATTTTCTATTTTTAGTAAAGTGGAGAAAACTATCTACAGGGCCTTTTAATGCATGTCCCTGAGGACCAGGCTTTCAAACTTAAGCCGTTTCAGCAAGAGGCAAATCAAAGTGAAAAACAAAACATTTCTTTTTTTCAGGAATTAGTGGCGTTTTCTTTTTTTGTTTTGTTTGTTGTTTGTTTTTTTAGAATGAAACAACACTTTTTGTGCCCTAAAAGAGACAGATATATTATCTTCACTTCTGTGCACTTTAAGTATCATGATCTTGACCTTAAGGAGTTGCACAGACCTTAACCGTGACATAGAAAGTTTATCAGTACTCACCTGCTTTTGTCTTGGAGAAGCCTACATAGTGTGAGTCACAGATGTTTCTTTCTTGTTCCTCTTTTCTTTCCCCTGTGTGATTAATGAATAGCACGATTGGAAATAAAAATGACAACATGATTTTTTTTTAAAGATCGATTCTAAGCTCTCTCTATGAATAGGATCCCTGAGCCAGCAAAAACAGCAGACATAACATTGAGTTAACTGGTCTCCCTGGAAAACTGTGCCACCTGTACACGCTGGTGAATTGGAGCAGCGGTTATAGCTCAGCACCTGCTCAAAAAAACAGAAAAAAAGTTTGTGTGTGTGTCCTGTAGCATCAGATAAGTCATCCGTCAATGGACGCTCTTTCAGTACATGACATGACAGCCCAATAACTGTTCGTCAAGCTTGATTGCACATGGCAGGGATCTGCCAGTCAGTCACAATACAGGAACAGACAGAAAGGACAACCTCTGCTGTACTACTGTAATCTGAGAGTACAACTCTGCCTCTCCCAATGTCAAGCATCTTAAAGTTTGTTTTGGTTTACTCCAACCAATGCCATGACAATAATTACATGTGATAGAAACTAGAAGTTATAAAGAACCTGATATTTCCCTCATTAGTGGAGACCAAAATAGATTTAAAAAGGGATGAATATTGATCTCAGATTTGCTGTTTAACAAAAACATTTTACCAATTATCTTCAATGGTTTAATGTCAACGATATTGTATTAGTAAAGTAAAAGTTGAGGTAGCAATAGAAATAATGATTCTGTTCAATAAATGTTTTCACAATAATAGTTTTCACTCTTCTCTGAGTGATATTCAGCTGAACAGGGTTACATTTCAGATACTCTGGCCAATTTAGATAGTGTACAATCAGCATATATGTTGGTTAATGAGTTTGCAGTGGCACTGGCAGGTGTGGGTTTATGGAAGGGGAGGACTAATTACTGTATACTTCAAGGGGATTCATATGGATCAAAGAAGCAGAGATTGTGTGGGGTTTTAATGACACCTAAGAAAGCTATTAGCAAGCTAATTATATGTGTTCAATACCTATAAGACATGCAAGTGCACACACTGTCACAAACACACCTTACCTCCGCCAATATACAAGCTTTGGTTTTCATGAAAATGCTCCACTATTGCTGATGCTGTTTAGATTGATGGTTTCCATTTTACCTGAACAGTGCTTTGATTCGGGGGTTTTTTCTTGATTGTCTTTGTCTCTCCTGGTTTGTTTCCTTCCTGCCAATCGGAAAGTATCATTAAAGGGCCAATAACCAACTCTTTCCACTCTGATTCCTCCTTATACATATAAGCCAGATGGATGGTTGACGGTGTTAGATCCTCCACCTTGAAGTCCAGAAAGTAGATATTCAATTTCCTGTCATGGAGCTATTTTGAGTACTGTCAGGTTGCCATGTCTGATCAGAAGCAAAGCTGCATTCAGCCTTCTGTATTTATAAAAGGTCTGTTTGCTATTCACCTGACTGTGAGTCGTCTCTTCATGATGTTCATTTTCAATGTCAAATCCATTCCAGGAGGACATTTTCAAAAGGATTTCTACTCTTAATGTAATTGAGTTCACGGTTGTTATTGGTTTCATTCGAGGATTGAAGTCAAATACAGGCGTGCAATGTTGGTGTGTATACATGAACAGTACAAGAAATGTGATTTTTTTTTCTTTTCTTTTTTTGCAGGAACCTTGGAAAGTCAGGACTCAGAGTATCTTGCTTAGGACTCGGTGAGTAGACTCTCTCTGCTTTACCAGTTATGATTCATCTAATTATCAGTTATCAAAAACCCTCTTTACAGACTATCTTTACAGAATCTGTTTCTATAGCAGCATGTAGAACATTTGTAGTTATAGACCAGCTTTGCATTAAATATTGTGAAAAATCCAATTTGACAGTGTTTTTGAACATACTGTATATTTGGGTAACCTGAGTGTCTACCGACACCACAAAATTTGAAATAAACCCATCCAGTCCTTTGTTTGTGGAACACAAACAGAACACAGAGAAAAGTGTTCTGTTTCAAATTTCGTCACAGTGGGATTCTGGTAAAAGAAAATACCCTCCCCTCCCCTGATATCTCCACTCATGGACTCCATCCCCAGCCTAGAACTAAACCTTTGTGCAGGTCTATCTATTTTTAGGAGTGATGTCAATCAGGAAAATTCATGGGGGGGTCATTGCATTTAAAGAGACACACACACCAAAACGGAGCGTTCTGAGAGAGCTGGTTTATACAGGGTCACAAACCTCTTCAGGTGCTTGATTCATGTTATATTTTGACCAAAGCACAACACAGATGTGTCATTCAGACCACAGGAGACTGCTTTAAAAGTTTGAAAAGAAGTATAATATGTCCCCTTTAAGTCATTTACAATAATGTATGAAGTCACCTGGAAAAAGTAAATCACACAACATTATTATTCAAAATTGGGCTGGCAGTTTAACTATTATTTCCAGCCCTTTTCATGGTGAAAGCAACAAGTCTACTGCTCATATAATTTCCTAACATCTTTATTGCACGAGCACACAAACACACACAAATACACACACACTGACATAAATAATCCGGTTTACTTCTAGCCTATAAAAGAGTGGATTGACTGTTGCCTCAGTTGGTATTTTTCCAGCAGAGGTGTTTATAGTGTGTGTGTGTGTGTGTGTGTGTGTGTGTGTGTGTGTGTGTGTGTGTGTGTGTGTGTGTGTGTGTGTGTGTGTGTGTGTGTGTGTGTGTGTGTGTGTGTGTATAGCACGTGCGTTTTTATCCATGTGGGTTGCCTATTAGAAACCTTCACTTCTCATAAAAAGACTCAAAGCCACCTCCAACTCAGCTTCAATATTTAGTATAAGAGTGGGAAGAAGACAACACACACACCTAAATCTACACGTACACACACACTCACACACACACACACACACACTGGCACGCATCTATTCCTGTCACCATGGAGAGCTCTCAAACAATAACAAAAAAATATGTTGTGTGTGTGTGTGTGTGTGTGTGTGTGTGTGTGTGTGTGTGTGTGTGTGTGTGTGTGTGTGTGTGTGTGTGTGTGTGTGTGTGTGTGTGTGTGTGTTCCTGGTTTTTGTACACCAAAAATATTAGTCCAATGTTCCCTTTCTTTATTATCAGGAGAGCTCGTGGTTAGGACATACAGAGTGTTGGACTACATTCCCCAGGCCATCATTTTAGTACCATCATTAACTGCTTCCAGGCCTGTGAGGTTATCAAGTCTCCATACATTAACCGTTGCATTTAAAATTATACCAATGTAATTGAAACATAGGCCACCCCTTGAATATGAGATGATTACAGAACTGATTTCAAACCGGACAAATATGAGATGTTTATTTATTAGATGGATCTTTTTTGTCTTCAGTAGTTGGGTTTTAAAGGTTGTGGTTCTTCATCACACAAACCAAACTGACATCATTCATACATTAAATAAGGTTTTTAACCAAGAATGGAAAACTGAACAATACCCTCAAATGATTCTGAATGCTGGAAAGCAAACAGAATGTGATGATAGAAAACCAAACAGACTGACTGAACTTTAATGAAGGCTAGATCATTGAATCATTTAGTATTGCACTTTTGCAGGAAATCACTTTGTTCTTTGATCCAAGCACATATTTTACAATTCCTGCTTGACTGATGAACAGAATCCTTAAATGAAGTATGAGATATCTGGTTAATTTATACATTAAACCACAGTTTAGTTTTTGAAGTTTGAGAGAAAAGCTGAATCATAACAAATTCAGCATCCCAGGAAATTGAATATTAATAAGTCTTTTCCTATGAAATTTCTGGTGGAAAACCCATGGAAATGCATGAGATGTTTCAGCTGTAGGAGTTGTACTCCAATATTATTTAAAAATGTGATGTATCTTTTTGAGAGTAAACTCCACAACTCTCATGTCGTCCTGAGCTGTTAGAAAAAGAAATATGTTTTTTTATACGCAACATTTTGCTCAACATCATGATGATAACTGCTGAAGAAATGTTAATTTAGAAACTTTAATAAGTTGGACTCTTTTAAAAAATAGACTACATCTAAGAACTGTTGGTTTCACAGTCAGACCTGCAGGATTCTGGCGATAAGATAAAAGCCCTTCCTCCCCAATCTCCCTGTGAAGAGGAGACCCTGGAGGCTTTGAACAGTATGTAAACCAAAACCTGAAATCTAGTTCTTAAATGAGCGCTAGTCTTTTCCCCAAAGCACAGTAATCAGCATATGAATCTCTGCAAATGTGATTAGTTAGTACTGATGGGAAGCCTGATACTTTACTGCCCATGCAATCTATACTGAGTGTGTGTGTGAAGGGCTGAATGTGATATGTAGTGTAAAGTGCTGTTAGTGGTTGTAAGACTAGAAAAGCTCGACATAAGCGCAGTCTGTTTATCATTAATCAATCTTTTTGTACCAACTTTTCTATAGTTAGGCACAATCGCCCTGCTGTAGAGTATTTGTCGACCATCCCAATTTAAGACATCTTTTTGTATATGCACAAGCATTTTGTGTATGCAGTGGCATGTTGGGGACGTCTCCCCGCCAACCCCCTGCAGCTGCCTTTACAGCGGTGTTAGACCCCAACTGATGTCAAAGCTAGCTGGTTTTCTCTGCCTCTTCTGTTAGCTCCCTCAATGCTTTGCGCAGGTTTGACCCCGTCATGCAAGCACCAGGGAGAAGTTGGACAAGTGCCCTGCTGACAAAGCCTCGGCATCAGACATTTATATAAAATTTCTATACATAAAAATATTGTTTATTGTTACTTCATTTGGACGTTTGAGCTTCAGTATGCAGAATGAGAATGAAGAGTTTAACAGTGAAAAAGGAGACGAACAACTGAAATGTTCTCCAGAAAATTTTTAGAAAAGCTTTTCAAAACAGTGTATGGCCTGCTTATATAAACTCCCTGGCGGACTCTGAGGCCGGTTAGTGCTAGTGCCCCAGGTGGCTCATGGTAGACAGAGAGGTCTGACAGAAACTGGCTGAGCTGAATGTTGCAAAAAAAAAAAAAGAAATCAGCACCAGCTGCCTGCCACATGCTGTACACAGGGTGGACATGATGCTGGCAGGGGAGAGGTAGAAGACAGGGAGCAGGATTTAATGTTCAAAAGCCATTTTTTGGGTGCCAAAATAGATAATATTGCAGTGTGTGTTGCATATGGCTATAATTCTCACAACTCTGCCCTAATGTTACAGCAAATGTCAGAAAAAACATGCACACCTGCTATTTGGCTGACAAAGCATTTGACAGAAAAATGCAGAAAAAACATACAATCATATTTGTGATTCAGTCATTTGTTTCCATTTGTCTGTGGTTGGGTGAACCACAGTCAGGAGGGGGAGGTAAGGTTACTGTGGCATGAGTCTGAACATTTAAAGAGCTGCTCTGCAACAGCATGATGAAGCCCCGAGAGAAATGTAGTAGTAACAACACTGGCCTGATTTCCATTATGGTTTATTCAACTGAAAGATCATTTCTTTATACAAGAAAGTATACAGTTTGAATAATGTAACAAGGTTTGTTTTTATAACTAAACTTAAGATTTAAACTGATTTATTTTGAAATTGAAAGACTACAATGTTTAGTATAAATCCTCCTGGTATTAACTTTGCTTGCTGGATTATAGTTTCCAGGTGCATCCAAGACCCAAGGCTGTTCTTAAAACTTTGAAAATGGCAAACTATATAAAGTATCACAGTGTTATGTAATATCACAAAAAAATATACATATTCACCTTTAATGGAATGGCTGGCTTACAGCCGTTTTGTGGTGGATCCCAAAAATCAGTTTAATTATTTTTGTTGGCATGATGGAAACAAGAGGAGATGGCTTATGTGTGTCTGTTTTTTTACCTTGATCATACCAAATCACAACGCTTGTGGACCATAGAAAACATTAAACTACGTGATACACAATGAGGTTGAAGAGCAAGTCTGGTGCATTAGCTCCATCCACCCACTCAAGCATACCAATACTGTAGCTGCTGGATGATTGAGAATATCTCGTTGTCACATGGTGTTGTTTCTTAAATGATGCCAGAAAAACATAATTTGTACTTGGCTACAGCACGGCATTATCAGTGGGCCGTTGGCTGAATCATGTTACGTCATTCAACAGTATTTTGACTTTAAAGATTATTACTTTAATGTTACAGCATTTACAATGCTAACTGACACTGTTGGAGTGCACTAAAGAAGAGCTAAACCCTGCGCTTTCAGTTTTAATTTATGTTCAAAAAGAATATTGCAAGTGTATTCAAATAGAATCTGTTTTTTTATGGTCCAAAGAACCATTCATTTCTCATTTCTATATCATTTGTCAAGCACCGATTCCAAAATCAATTGATAACTATTTTTTAAACATTGCCATCTATACAAGAAGATACAGCTGCCTTATCTTTTGAAAGTTTTTTTTTAGTCATTTTCATTTTGAATTGCTTCTCCAATTATTAACTTCTTGTGGTTGATTTAAAATCTAAATTGAGTTCAAGCATGAACTATCATTTCTTTTCAGCCCATTACAACCTAAGATTCTCAGTTTTGCTGCATTAATTTGTAATCCTTTTAAAAGACAGACCCCCCCCCCCCCCCCCAAACCAAAATTAGAAATTAAAAATTATTAAGCTCACATATTTGTAACTCATTAACTGTGGATAGCTGATAGCTTAAGGGTATTAATTCTGGGTACTTCAGGAACATTGTCTTTTCAATGCTGAGTT